GATGTTTCAGAGGTCAGCAGGATCATCTCTGAGTGACGGGGCGGTTGGAGAGGAACAGCAGGATGGAGGCGGGTCACTTTGACTCTTCAGCCATCTTGTCATCCCCACAACATCACCCAAAAACTTCACATCCTGGACAACCCTGATCACATGTCACAGCACCCACCAATCAGAGGACAGGAGCTCAGAGTAAATGAACCTCAGAAACACTCTGTGGATAATCTGCTCATGTCAACATGTAAATCTGGACCTCTGTGAACTCTTCTCTGTCTGAACTCTATAGACACATTTCAGCTGAACTTAGAGACAGTTAAAGTGTGAGTCTGTGAGCTGACTTCACTCTCAAAGATCTTTATCACTGAGAGGATTCAGAGTTTTTTCTGCTCTGATCACCAATGAAAACAGAAATCAGCTGTTGAGAAGAGGAGCTGCTCCCTCTGATATTAAAACGCCACAAACTAATTGATGTCTCTCATCATGGGCGCTCATAAAGGGAGGTGATGGGCTGAGAGGAGGAGGAGGAGGAGGAGGAGGAGGAGGAGAGCGGGTGGGGCCTGGCTGTGAACACGGAGGCAGACTGTGGTGGTCTCTGACCGGAGACTCTGCTCCTTTTATTCCGCTCAGATCGGCCCGCATGTCTGACCCGGGGGTCCTCCTGCTGCCGGGAGCGAACAGCCCTCATCCCCCCCCGGAGATCCGGCAGATGGACGCGGAGCTGCGGTGAGGAAGGAGGATGAAAACGGCGTCTGCTCCATTTTTTGGCTTTTCCGCTCCGAGCCTGTTTCTGGGAGGGAGCAGCAGCAGCAGCAGCAGCAGCAGTGGTCCTGTCGGTGGTCCTGTCGGTGGTCCCGTCGGTGGTTCGGCCCTTTCTTTATTCTCGGCAGCAGCAGCAGCAGCAGCAGCAGCAGCAGATCTCCGCGGTTAGCTATGTGAAGAGCAGACCCCCCACCCCACCCCCCAACACTCTCTCTTCGCGATCCTGACGAATAATTATGAACAACGCGCAAGAAATGTCGCCCGATTTCGTGTTGATGCGCCTGGTTTCCGCCGCCGAGGATGACCGCCTGGACGCCGAGAACGGGAACCTGCCGCCGGCCGGAGTGGTGTCAGGGCTGGGGAAGGAGGTCCTGGCTCACAGCGGCGTCAAAGCGGGACTGGAGATCAGCCGAGACCCGACGGCGGGCCTCGAGCATCCCAGCAGCCGCCTGAACAAAGCCCAGCAGCCGGGCGGGGAGGGCACGGCGCCCCCTGACACCGGGGGGACGGAGAGCCGAGCCCCGCTGTCTGCGCCCCCTCCGCCGCAGAGCCCCATGGAGGCCCAGGGCTTCGACTTCGCTCCCAGTCCCGGCCTTCGGCCTCAGCTGCTCGTCTTCTCCAATCTGATGCGGAACGGAGACGGGATCTTAGAACTGGACCGTCTGAGTCCGGGGAGGGATGCTCTGGGTCTGGATCCGAGCGCGGGGACCGTCTGCTCCGGTCCGACCGTCAACAACAACAACAGCCGGAGTCCCGGGGACCGACAGCAGGACCGGACATGGGGGGCTCATCCTCCGGGCTCCGGACCCGGGGACATACCGGGAGCCGCGGAGCTGTGCCGCCGGCATCGCCTCATCAGCACCCCGCCCGAGTGGCCCCTGCTGACGGAGAGGTCCGAGTCCAAGTGGGGCTGCGCCACCAGGGACCGGGAGGGAGCCGTGTTCGAGCTGGCCCGAAGGTTCGGGGAGCTGGGGGTCGGAGCGGTCCCGAAGATGCTGCTGAAGGCGGGGGAACTCCCGCAGTGCTCGTGTCAGGGGGCCCACGGTCCGGGAGGAGGGGGGGAGCCCGGGGATGACCCCACAGAGACCAGCGACGCTCTGTTGGTCCTGGAGGGTCTGGGGAGCGGGGACGTGACGGGCCTGAGTCTGGACGAGTGTCCGGGGGGAGAGACCGAGGACGAGACCGGGCGCAGGGACTTTCTCCTGAACAGGAAGAGGGAGATAGTCCAGAAGATGTCCGGGACCTTCTCCATCAGCAGCTTCCAGGCAGAGCTGAGGCGGCAGGTGGAGGTCATGACCCCTGCGGTGGCGGCGGGGGGCGCACAGGTGTGCGGCCTCCACGGGACCCTCTCCTCTCAGCTCTCACAGGTAAGCCCCGGGGACGCAGAGGTCGGCGCCCGGGTTTCAACCGTGTCACCTGCACCCACGCCGGCCCAGAGCACACCTGGGGCGACCACCCCCGACCTGAGCCAGGCGTCTACGCCCAGGAGACGACCGGAGCGCTGCGCCAGCGCGCCACGGACCCCGACAGGCTGGGACAAGACTCTGAAAGTACCCGGGAAGTCCAAAAAGGGTCTAAAGATCCGCCTGAGTAAACTGTTCCGGACTAAAAGCTGCAGCGGCTCCAACCACCTGCTGGACAAGAGGCCCTCAGTGACCTCCTCCGTGTCCTCCTCAGCGGGGAGTCTGCTGGACATGGCGAGCAGCGCTGGAGCTGAGCAGGACGCAGACAGGTGAGCCACAAACACACCTGAGGGGCCCGGGCACGGGGGTCAGGGGGTCAGGGGGTCAGGACCTCTTTACTGTGACAGCAGCTGGATCATAGGGGAGGGCGGGGTCAGATCAGTCCTGGTTTAGTCTGGAACTCTCTGATGTGTCTCTGATGTTGTTGTAAACTGACCCGTGGTCTTGATAATGTAGGGGGGCTAAACTCAGACCACCCCCCCGTAGACCGACCCCCCAGACTGACATCTGGACTTTATTCTCCTTTAAACTAAAACTTAGTTCATCTGTCAAACTTTATCTTTGATTTCCTTCTTTCCTCCTGAATCTCGACTTTCAAACGTTTTTCTCTGTTTTCTTCCTTCTTCTTCGTCTCTCAGGTTTTTGTTTTTCACTCTTAGAGTTAAAGAGTTTATATCAGTTTTATCTTCTGCTCCAAACTTCTTCCTCTTTTCTCACTAAAATCCAGAATTTAATGGTTTCTGTTCTCAGCTCTTTGAAACTTCATTTTCGTCTCATTATAATTGAACAGATTTTATATTTTGATCATATTCTCACTTCAGTTCATTTACTTTACTTTATTATTTTATTACTTTATTATTTTACTTCATGAACGACATGAACTGAATCACTGAGACCGAGATAAGTGTGACAACAGGCCCCGGTCTCCCCTAATTGAGCTCCTCCCGAGTGTCCGAGCTCCTTCCCCTATCTCTAAGGCTGAGCCCGGACACCCTGAGGAGGAAACCCATTTCAGCCGCTTGTATCTGCGATCTTGTTCTTTCGCTCATTACCCAAAGTTCATGACCATAGGTGAGGATCGGCACGTAGATCGACCGGTAAATCCAGAGTCTCTCCTTACGGCTCAGCTCTTTCTTCACCACCACTGATCGGTTAAACGTCCGCATCACTGCTGACGCCGCTCTGATCCGCCTGTCGATCTCCTGCTCCATCCTACCCTCACTCCTGAACAAGATCCTGAGATACTTGAACTCCTCCTCCTGAGACAGGACCGCCCCTCCGACCTGGAGAAGGTGATCTACCTTTTTCAGACTGAGGACCATGACCTCGGACTTGGAGGTTCTGATTCTCATCCCAGCCGTGAACCGCCCCAGCAAGAGATGAAGCTAGAGGAACCACATCATCCACAAAAAGCAGCAACGTGATCCTCCGCCTGCTGAACTGGACCCCCTCCACCCCCGACTGCACCTAGAAACTCTGTCCATAAAGGTTCTGAACAGAACCGGAGACAAAGGGCAGCCCTGGAGGAGTCCAACTCTCTCTGGAAACGAGTCCGACTCACAGCCGAGGACACGGTCTGTGTAGTCGGCTGTGAGTGGAGACCTCGGTCTGAGAGGAGAGTGAATCTTCAGGACTAGAGTTTGAGTTTTCGTGTGGATGTTCAGTTTTTAAAGTCTGGAGTCTCCTGAGCGCAGAGGTCAGAGACAAAGTGAAGAACATCATTGTTGTTTTTCTCCATGATGTCGGTCAGGAGGAGACGAGGAGGAGGAAGTCATGCAGAAACCCTCAGACGGGCCTGATGGGCAGGAAACATTCAATATTTGAAGAGCGGCGACACATTTTCACTCCGAGTCCAGACGAGTTCATCTCTCTTTGTTTTCAGTCACTGATCCAGTTTTTTTTTTAGTCTCTACATCGAAACTCTGAAGTTGGAGCTGAAGACGCTCAAATCTCTGACTCTGCGTCTGTGAAGACGTAGAATCGGAGTCAAAGCTTTGTTTGGTGTCCCGCTCTGTGTCAGTGTTTAGTCAGTATTCACAGAAGAAGAAGAAGAAGAAGAAGACGTGTGATTCAAAAAACATCTCTGCACAAGTCTGAGCGAAGAGTGAAGAGCATCAAACAGAAGAAGGAAAGACTGCAGGACAAACGAGAAACACTGAAAAGTTCATTCTCTGAAACTCTGCCGCTGCTAACAGCTTCTCCTTCTCTCCTTCTCCTTCTCTTTCTTCTCCTCCTTCTCCTCCTTCTTCTTCTTCTCCTTCTTCTTCTTCTTCATGTGTTTCCTGCAGCCACAGTCAGCCCAGACTGACCCGGGCCCACAGTGCCTTCTCCCCCGCCTCCCTCTCTGCCTCCCTCTCTGCTTTCACGGGTAAGACTCGCTCTTTTCTTTCTTGTTTCTCTGTTTTCTCTCCATCCAGCTCTCACACACGCACACACACACACACAGACACACACACACGCACACACACACACACACGGGTTATTTTAGTGGTTAATGTTCAATAGAGGAATAAGAATCAGCTGATTTTTTCTCAGACGGTCTCTAAAGTCTGAAGTCCGTTTTCAGGTGGTCCAGTTTTATCGGGACCCCTGTGGACCCTCACAGTGAGTCCTGGATTGTTGTCCTGCTTGTTGTTTTGGCCCCCCTCTATCGTGGTCGATCAGCTGATCAGCAGAGCGGCGTTACAGTGACCCTTATTTTTTCGGTTTGTCGATTATTTGTCAGTTATTTTTCGGTTATTTTTTGTTTATTTTTTGGTTTATTTTCGATTGTTTTTTCAGTTGTTTTTCTGTTATTTTTCGTTTGTTTTTCAGTCGTTTTTTTTTGTTCGATTGTTTTTTTTTAGGATTTTTTTTCAGTTATTTTTCTGTTATTTTTTGAATGTTTTTCGGTTGTTTTTTTTCGCTTGTTTTTTTCGCTTGTTTTTCTTTTTTTTTCGTTCGTTTTTAAGTTGTTTTTTAGTTGTTTTTTAGTTGTTTTTTTTCGGTTGTTTTTTTTAATGTTTTTGTTTGTTTTTCGTTTGTTTTTCGGTTGTTGACTGATCTCTAACTCTGCGAGGGGTTAATAACCCGTCAGAGGTAACGTTGTCCGATCAGCTGATGTCTCACAGGGTGACCAGCAGGGGGGGTTGTGGATGTTTCAGACACCCTGAAGTTCTGCACACAGCGTGTTGGTGTTTCACTCTGAGCAGATAAATGAACATGTTCAGATCGGAGGACAGATCTGAAACTGCTCCATCCGCCCTGGTCTGCTGTTGGGGAGGTGGTGGTGGTGGTGGGGATTTGGCTCCAGTGTTTGAGTTTGTTTCTTCCCCGACTGCAGACCATGACTTTGGTAAACAGAGAATCTGCAGAATCTCACTGAGCGGCGCTGGGATGTTCGTCTTTATCACAGTGATTTCTTCTGATTAACTGGGTGTAATTTTCCATAAACGTCCTGCTGCAGCGTCCATGTCTCACTGTGCTGAACAGACACACACACACACAGACACACAGACACACACACACACACAGACACACACAGACACACACACACTCACACACACACACACACACACACACACTCAGAGTTTTCCCTCTTTTTTCACTTTCCTCTGTTTCTTCTCTGGCTGCAGGTGAGACCGTTTCCCTGGTGGATGTGGACATTTCACGGAGAGGGACGAACACGCCACATCCTCCCACGCCTCCTCCTCCTCCACGAAGAAGTCTCAGTTTGTTAGGTACTCCTCTGTCCTCAGTCCTCAGTCCTCTGTCCTCAGTCCTCAGTCCTCTGTCCTCTGTCCTCTGTCCTCTGTCCTCAGTCCTGTCCTCAGTCCTCTGTCCTCAGTCCTCTGTCCTCTGTCCTCAGTCCTCAGTCCTCTGTCCTCTGTCCTCAGTCCTGTCCTCAGTCCTCTGTCCTCAGTCCTCTGTCCTCTGTCCTCTGTCCTCTGTCCTCTGTCCTCAGTCCTCTGTCCTCAGTCCTGTCCTCTGTCCTCAGTCCTCTGTCCTCTGTCCTCTGTCCTCTGTCCTCAGTCCTCAGTCCTCTGTCCTCAGTCCTCTGTCCTCAGTCCTCTGTCCTCTGTCCTCAGTCCTCAGTCCTCTGTCCTCTGTCCTCAGTCCTCTGTCCTCAGTCCTCAGTCCTCTGTCCTCAGTCCTCTGTCCTCAGTCAAATACCACAGTACTACGATCTAAAGCTGTTGATCAGAGAACATCACAGGACATCACGCTGCAGTACTGACCAATCAAACATGAGACCAAACTGTTCAAACTCAACGATCCATCAGGACACAAACTTCACTTTAATATAAAGTGTTTCCATCATCTCTCTGAAAACGATGTAGTTCATATGCCAGGCCAGTAGGTGGCGCTGTAACGCTTCACAGGAAATGCACCAAAGACAGAAGAAGAGTACAGAGCATGTGGATAAAGGTTGTTTTGGGTTTTTTTATTCGCACATGTGACCCTAAATATATTTGAGAATTCACACACGTCTATTTTAGTCGCAGTGAAACAGTCAAACTGAGGAGACCTGATCCAGGACTATAATTCAGCATTTACAACATAAGAGAGCCTGATCCTGTCAGGACATTAGAGTTCACTCTGATGGTTCATAATATGATGTCAAATAATGTGCTTTAATATAATTTCTTATGATTCATTATAAAAGAAAATGAAATGATAATAAACTAAAACGGTACAATAATGAAGTTATGAGATGATATATGAGATGAAGGCGATGAAGGAGGAGTCTTGTCTCTAAGAAGACCTCCTCCTCCTCCTCTTCCTCAGTGACGCTCTGCTCTTCGTCTCTGTGAAAAACCTTCTTATAAATTCAGACTTTGTGTGGCTCCAGTTTTTAAGCTGCTTTCAGCTGATTTTGAGGTCACCTGAAAAACTGCAGATTATTCTGTCAGAGACAAAAATACTTTCATCTTTTTCCTGGAAAAACAGTCCGAGCTGCTGAGTTCGACTTTACTCCTGCTGCTTCAGAAACACTGAAAACAAACGTCAGAGTCTGACCTCGATCACACGCCTGAAGAAGAAGAAGAAGAAACTCCTGCAGTTCTTTCTCTGACCTGCAGGGGTTTCAAAGGGGGGACATGTGTTAGTGGTCCTGACCAGAGACCGTATCTAGAACAGACGCCGTCTGCCTCCTCTCTCTGAGAACAGCGCCCTCTGGTGACGGGCTGCAGTATAGGTCCTAAACCCCGCCTCCTTATGGAGCTGTGGACAAACTTTCTAAATGAATGACACAGAATATAAATGTTTCTCCCCCCTGGTTGTGATGTTGACATGTAGTTAC